GTACATGTAGTTTATCATTGGATATGACACATTTAGTAACATTACCAATGCCTGTAAAAACCGAAAGATATATTTTATCTAATGTAAACAAACTCTGAGTTTATATTGAGTATTGAATCACTAATAAAAAACTTGTTTCAAAGCAACTCAATTTACATCAATTCATGAAAATATAAAACAAAGAAAAAATTGGACTCAAGCTGCACTGATTACTCACTGGATATAGACTAATTTGAATTTGGTATATACATGTACAGTGCGTCGCAGAAAAACGAAACTGAGAGTTATCGATGTTTTGTCATAACTTAATCACAATCATAATTAATAATTTACACATATTTGTAAAGCTTAGATCCTCCTCTTTCATTTGATGCAACTCATATGATGCATATTTCATGCATGAGTGATTAAAAACAATTTGAAGAGAGGGTACCAAAAAGTCATTTAGCGCGCGGTATCAGAGCTGAATTTTAAGGAGAAAATTACATTTCTAGAAAGTTATTTTCTGCCCTTTTCATGACACCTCAATCAGGAGAAATGAGCCAGGAGTAACAAAGTTCTGTTTGTTTAAAGTTATGCTTGTATTTCCATACTTTGACTAAACAAATTCGTTTTCACTGGCTGCCTGCCATAGCAACAAACAGAGTTGACAAAAGACTTAGCTCTGTTTCGTTGACGATCAGCCATGCACAAAGAAGACAAAAGACTTGATGCATGGCTGATCGTCAATTACATAACACACTGACATGTCATGCTTTAAACAAGTGACGCACTTCACTGTCACACATAACTGACGCACACATGGCAGGGCAAACATATAAAAACTCAACAAACATTTTAGAATACCGTATATTTTCCAGTTTGTCTACCTTAAATAGAATTTTTCAAACTTAAAAAAAAGTTACGTCAGACTTAAACTTAAGTGAAATATTAAACCTTTTATTTCTTGCTGAAAAAATCGTAACAAATAGAGTATAGGCTAGAGGGTTTGACTGAAAAAACAGAAAATCGCAAGCTTTCTCCTCTCACCAATATCTTATAACATTGAGCGAATGGCTGGCAGCCAGCGATAGCCAATAAGAAGGGTCCTTGACTCTTGAGCTTGAAGGCACAATTTAGAAAAATGAGGCTGCATGCAATTTGCCAAGATCGATATCGGATGAACGTTCTGCATGTACATGTATGCGCTAGACCTAAATTAAATGTAAATGGTCTATAGATCTATACGATATCGGAAATTGGATAAACGTTAAGCGCATGCGCTAAATGTAAAGTTATACTTATACGTGGATCTAGACACTTTAAAAATGTAATACTAATAGGGTCTATTTATAATTTAATGAATAAATGTTAATTATAAAAACAGGCCTGCTCAGGTTCCAGCTGTCATTGACATGACTATTTATTATACACATTGCTGTATCAACTCAATTCAACTAGCCAAGACGGGCCGGATGCTCGTCCATCCGATCCCCGCACCTAAACCACGTCGTCAAGCAGCTAGCAGCGGACAGCTACAGCGCTAGCGAGCTAGGAGCGCAGCGAGGACAACGAACAGAAAAATGAAGTTTACTTACTTCCTCCGTACTGCCAAAATGGAACCGTTTCATCCTTCTGTATCAAGTGTGGACCTTTGAAACTGTATTTGTACTCAAATTTTTTGAAAGGAGGCTGTGCAGAACAGTACAGAACTGCCAGAAAAAGAAGAAACACGGTGACAGAAAGAGTGTTGAAACCCGCCATATTGTACAGATACTAGGCACATATGATTTTAACTTTATGCAAATAAGATAAGTTTCATTTGCATATGTATCGTAAACAGGGCCAGTAAACGATAAATTCACATGTTTTAGAGGTTGATACAAAATTTCCCTATATGCTTTGATCAAGCTTTGTATACATTTTATTTTTATTCATATTGAATTGATGTTTCATACTCGAAATATTTACACAAAACAATCGTTTCTGAAAGGTTAGAATGAATGTATGACAACTTGGCTTTATTTGATTGGTTGTTGAAGACTTTCGGGGTAAAAGGTTTATGCATATTCAATTTCAACACATGTGCATGCCCCACCCCCTCTTCAGCAGTCCTGTATTAACGCAGAGCATGTAACGATTTATAGCCAGAATATAGAATGTATTGTCGTTTTATCGAAAATACCCATACTTATTAATATATTGATGTTGAAAAAGAACCATCAACATTTTTCAGGTCCTGCCCACTCAGTAGCTTAGATATATCTTTATTTTAGAACCCTCCTCCTCCCCGCCTCTCACTCTCTCTCTCTTTAATTTTCTCTCCTAAATGGTGTATTTTTCATTTTTCATTCGGTGTTATTGTTAATTTGTTTGTTTTAATAATTTTCTTCCAAGCTATCCTAATTTTCAATGTGCCCCTTTCTTAAATGTGTGCTACTAAAACTTCTAAAATATCCATCTTCATATTCCTATGATGCATATGCACCTCCAAAATCATTATCAATTTGTTTTCCCCTTCAGATTGTTCAGTAGCTATAGAATCCTTATAGTATTCAGAATAGAGCCCCCAAATTCTGTGATGGCCGTAAGGAAAGACAAATTCAACAGCCTGAAAAAAACCTTGTGGTACATGGATGTATAAAAATTTCATTTATTCACAAAGTTTATTGCAGTTCAACATTGTTGAATAGGATATGATTTTTTCATTAGTAACAATTATATTTACATCTTTCATTTCATACATGTAAATCATATTCATGTATACATGTACTACATATTCTTCTCAGCATTTGATGCATGTGTGTTTTGGGCCTTACACATAATAATACAAACATTTAGATCAGCTTACCTCAAATTTTCCCTTTTTTTATAACATGTGTGATTCCAATTTCTTCATTAATTAATAGTTATTAATAGTTCAAGCTTATTTGTATCCTCACTGTTGATGAAACACAATCAATCAACCTCAAAGAACCATACAGAAACAAAATAAAAGTTGGGATTTACATGAACACAATTTAACTACCTGTGGCAGGCCCAGAATTTGCATTCTACAGGATGTAAGGGGGACATACATGTGTCTCAAATATTTATGTTTGGCAAATTTAGTTGGCACCCCACATGTAACCCCCAGAGCTGCCACAAACTAGTTTTACATATTTTAACATAACATATAAACATAACAAATTATATTTTTTAATATAACTTTGACATTATTAAATAACAATTAGTACTTCTGATGGCATATCAATACAGCTAGAATGATATGTTACTATAATAGTGTATATTATTTTTTACTTTGAACCCTTTAGTACCGATTGATTATACTTCTACTCATAGCAACTTTGTTACTTTTTGTACCAAATAGATTGATCTCTCTTTCATAGATAATTTGGGATCTGGTAGTGCAACAGTTACAGCATTTCCAGATAAAAAGGTCTGAAATTCATTCTGAATTCTGCATTATGTGCTAATAAAATTGTTTAGCCTTGCAACATATAAACCAACATGAAAAACTAGCTGATAACATTTGCAATTAAAAGCACCATGATCAACACATGAATTCCTACATATGGTAATCATGTGTTAATTCAGTCGATGGATCTGATAAAACTTTTTTTTATTTTATTTGGGGGGGGGGGGGCTCATTATTCAGCTATCATCTATTTCTTTCAAGTTTATTTGGCAGATATTATTCATGTTTCTTGCACATGCAGTGTAATTTCTTTTTAATGAATCAATCCTATCATAATCTCACTGTTACCCCTTACTATAACTCATAAATAAATCTTAAAGGTACTATGTCCCATTTGCAGGCCAAATAAATGAAAAAGTTAAAATTCCAACTGCATTTGAAATATAATACTAATTTAGAACTTTCCTAAAAAAGGTGGGGCTTGAAAATGTCTTCAAGTGGGAAAATAATGACTATTAGTTGTCAAATCGACTTTAGGGCTATAGAGCCCAAAAGTAATAGTCTTGATTTTCAGACAATTTTACCGAATGGTCATAGGTTTTATGCTGCGCAAAGATTCAATCAGTTTAATCTTGGCCATCACAAGAAGTGGGTTATTGATGTAGACAAATGCTTATGTACCCTTTACAACTCTTTTCATGTATGTTATTACCAAAGAAGAAAAAAAGCCAGTCAGTCACTCAATAGTGTCTGACAGTGAAGTCTAGCAAGTAAACGGGTTTCCTTGCATAATTTGAATATGAGGACACTGCTAACGTTTAAATTTCACAGAGAGGACATACATGACATATTCATAATTCCTGCAAAGTTCTACAGCATTTGAGGTTGGCTGCAAAAGGGACATAGTACCTTTAAATAAACATTTATAATGTTTGTTTACATTTACATCATCAAATATATTTGTTATCATACACATTGGAAGACAATTGGATTACATATGTAAATTACCCCTTAAAAAAAAAATCATGGATGGAGTATATTTAGCAAAATTCATCTATGGGTGAATTGGTAATCTACTCTGGAAATATAAAATAACTGACTCATTACTGTTATAGCTGTTAGTATTATTTCAAATGTATGCAAACAAAGTCTGTATATTCGTCTGAGAAACTTAGAAGTAGCAACTTGAACTCTTGTGGTATATTTCCAAAGATCATGAAATCACATTGAGATCATTTTCTTTCACACAATGATGTCACTCTTTTCTGTATAATTTGTTTAAGAATAAAAATTTGGAACAATACCTTGTCAAAATTGCAAAAAAAAATCAATTGGAAACAAGAATATTTACAATACACTATTGAGATAATTCAGATTATTATACTATTATCAATGAGTTTTGTTGTTACATATAACTACAAGTCGTAGAGAATTTTTTTGATTGGGTACAGTATTTCATGAGTAAATTTTATGTTTTCACAACACACAGAAAGGTATTATAATCATGTACATCACTGAACATCAAATAATCTGTGTATTCAGGTCTATTAAAAAAAAGCAGTAGATGCTATACAGGTACCCCTTACAAAATGTTATCTTTCTATTTTACAATTCTCTTATTATTTCCTATTGGCCAATTTAGAATAATCAATAAATATTACACATTTCTGTCCATTCAATGGAATGATTTATAAACAACAGGAAAATGGCAAATGATATTCAACCCCTCTTGTTTAGCAGCTGACCACATGTTTGTCATAAAAGCGTGGGTATATTTGAAAACTTCAAAAAACCTATCAGATAAAATGCTACAAGTTGGCATTTCAAAAAATAGCCTTCAAAATCAGAAGAAAAAAAAAAATTCTCAAGCGTCAATGTCCCTCTCCCTCATCTTTCTCAGAGCACCAATTCTGATTACCGTAGCTACAAGAAGCTCCTTGCATGATTCCTAGGTACTGACGATCAGTACTGTTCAAACACTTCACCAATACTGCCTGGAATGCTTCAATCTCATAATTTGCATCAAAATAATTGTGCATTCAATACATCAATACTCACCCATCAATATTTGTTAAAACAGTCTTTGATGAAAAACCGATGTAAATTAATACAAACTTTCGTATATATATTTAATACGTTGCACTTATTCGCTGGTGTTCTATAAATCTCTATGTCTTAATAATTCTTGGCTACCTATGTGGAGCTGTCTTCTTTGATGAAGAAGCGTTTGGTCTTTTTGCAGTGAGCTTTCTGTCCTCTTCAATCTCTCTTTCTCTCTGTTGTTCCTTCTCAAGATTCTCTTTCATTTTCTGCTGTTGCAGCTTTAAAGCTTTTTTCTGAAGAGGGAAACAAACATTCAATTCTAGTTACTAAATGACTTTCACGATTGAATTCACTGATGTTTTAAGGTTGAAGTTTAATGTATACCGGTAGTTTGTTTTTAAAGATAAAATGTAAATGGTAATAGCAATTCAGTCATTTAGAGATACATATAGAGTTGAAATATTCTGTCAAGGAAAACAATATAGCATGGTATGAATGAATTAAAATCACCTGAAATATAATTTGTGTATAGCTGGAATGTATAAAATCAACCTAAAAAACCTTTAGCTGGTTATTCTATTGGTAAACGGTTAAGAAGTATGAAGAAAAAAAAGGGATTTTATAAAACCTCACACAAAACCCGAGTCCAAGATGGGTTCATAGAGCACGCCCTATTCTATGCAAGTGTGTAGGCGTTGTTAACTAGTCTACTCAATAAGATGTTCTACTGCTCACTAAAGAATGTATTTAAATTTAAATATCTCTTTTTAGAAGTCATATTTGAAGCTCATATTTTGAATACAGTATAGCCACATGAAACAGCTAACATTAAGAGCAAAACATGTTTTGGTGATTGATACAGTTTATTGTATTCTTTATCAAACATTTTAAAATGTCACAGAACATATAGATGAATGCATTTTATTTAAAATTACTCCAGAATTTATAAATACATGTACATACTTTTAATTTGCTAGACTTTTCATGTAATGATGTCATCTCCTTTTTGATGGCTGTCAATTTGCCCTGGTACACCTTGGCTTCAAGCATCTGTAAAGATCATGTTAAACTTTCTTAATAATCAACACCAATAACATATAAATTGATCAACAAGTCAAATACAACCCTGTAATAATCAGGGGTGATAGCGAGCACTAAAACAAAAAATAGGTTTTATGTTTTCCCTCAAACCATGCCCCCCTTGAGTAAAAAAACAACAAGAGGATTCGCAGAGAAAAAATGGCATCTAACAACATTCCCCCTTTCGAGTTAGAAAATTTTGATAAAAATAGGGAAAATTTGGAAAAAAATAAGATAAAATAGGGTAGAAAAAAAAATCTGGAAAAAAAAAAAAAAATTGGGATTTTTTTTTTACATCAGGAAGAAGAAAAAAAAAAAAATTCAGAAAATCAATTTAAATTTGGTTTTAATCAGGCCTGAATAATAGTGCCTCTGTTTGAACATATTATTATAACAATTCAACATTTCACAAAACTTTGCTGACTTAAATTGAGCTTTTACTTTCGCAATTAATGAGGAAAAAAAAGTGTATCAAACACCCCCCCCCCCCCCCCCCCACCAAAGAAATTTGTTCTATATGTTAGGGGTTTAATGTCACTACACTACCTTCAAATTCTAGGTAAAGTTTTTGAAGTTGATTTCATACATTCTAGCTGGGTTCTGTGCACAGGGACTAATTTTTATCTTCATACTTCTTAGCCATTAGCCCACAGAATGCCAAGGAGAGTTTTAGAGGTGATTTTATATATTCTAGCTTGAAATGATTTTTTTCATGATTGGTACCCTTGAAAATATATAAAAAGGCACTATTTTACATATAAATACTTACAATATTGAAGATCATGGAGCATGGATTACTTACCATCTTTGTAAGATCCTCAACTATCTTGTTCTCTGCAAATTTTGTGTTTTCCTGCTGGAGAGTTTCAATCAATAGAACTTGGTTTCTCCTGTTCAATAAATACAAAACAAAAACGTGTTTACGACAAATCAATAAATGTTTTGTTTCTCTGATAAACACTCGGATGTGTACTTTTCTATGGTAAAGTTCTGGCTGATCGAATTGATAAGATATCATTGAGTTTGGACATGAATGGCTTCATTAGATGCATCCTGTGGAGAGTGGCTTTGAACAGTGAGACAAATCCCATTTCGTTTAAACAACATGGTCGTAAATTCCATAATCTTCATCATAGAAAAATCAATTAATCATCATATCTGTAGAAAATAACCAAGACAGAATAACTCCTACAAAAGCATACTTTGTAAGAACCTCCTCAGCAGTTCTTTCCTCCCGTTTATAGATTTGTTTATCATTGATAAATAATGATAGAGGCTGTTCACACCGGCAGAGATAGTGCGCGCTAGACTGCGCTATCTCTGCGGTTTGGAAGGTACAACGTCGTTTCAGTCCGCCCAACAGCGAGCCACGGCGTGCCACTGGAGCACCTCTTGGGGGTGGTCCACGAGAGATAGCGCGGTCTAGCGCGCGCTAGAAAAAAGGGGGTGCTACGATAGAGCGCGCTATCTCATTGCGGTGTGAACAGCCTCATAGAGAAGTTACTTACGTAAGCTCTGTAAGTGACTCATCATGTTTCTGGAAGTGAGGAAGTATAGCATCTAGCAATCCTTGAGTGAGATGATCTATACATGTGTCTGGGATGGGAAGAATCTCTGCCTCTGTGCTACCGTCCTTCTCAACACCTGAACCATACAGATATAAAATACAAGGTTGCACTACAAATAATACATGGTAAGATATTAAAAACTCGATGTTAAGTAATAGTGTTTCAATTTTCAGTAAAGTGCACACATTGTATGGATTATCTAGAGCCTAGGGGGGGGGGGGGGGAGAGATCAACAGTAAATTTGATTCCCTGGACGATTGGCTGGCTCGAGCATATCATGTACAGCCTGAGGAGTGGTAGTATATATGAATAAATTAAGAAACTGTCCAAATCCATCCACCAAGCCACTTAATAAGTGATAACTAGGCAGACAGCTGTGTTACACATGTCCGCATATTCAAAGCATGACATCAGTTACATATTACAGAGTAAATTCTATGACTGTTTTAAAGTTTCATTTGTTTTTTTTACCTTCTTCATCATATGTGTCACTGAAAGTGCCTTTTCGATATCCTCTGTACAGAAAGCAGTCAAATGAAAAATGTTACATGCATGGACAAATAACAGTAAGAATAATATACCTTTAGAATCCACCTTAGCAACAGGCTCCTCCTGCCTTCCCTTGCTTTCTTCTGATTTCTCTTGGACATCTAAGGAAGGATCTTCTGACGCCTGAGGAGGATCTTCTGATGCCTGAGGAACATCTTCTTTCTTGTAATTAGAGGTTGCCATAGTTCAACTCTGAACAGGGGTGATAGTGAGCACTAAAAAAAAAATAGGTTTTTTGTTTTCCCCTCAACCACGCCCCCCTTGAGTAAAAAAAAAAAAAGACGATTCGCGGGGAAAAAATGGCATCTAACAACATTCCCCCCTTTCGAGTAATAAAATTGAGACAAACTTGGGAAAATTGGGGGAAAAATAGGGAAGAATAGAGATAATAAGAGGGAAAAATAAAAAAAATCGGGAAACCGATTTAAATCGGGTTTTTATCAGGCCTGTCTGAAGGAAAAAAAATATATATATACATGGGTAATGGAGTATCTGGGGTGTTAAAAGAGTAATTTACCTTCATTGCATTTCTTTCATGAATTTACACATATATTACAGTCGAGATTATTATGCTAACATAAAACTCAACAAATTTCATTTTTTAAACATTTCATCATACTTTTTTTTCTTCTTGATGTCTTGGATATCTCATCATATCCTCCAAATTCATTAATCAATTACCTAAGCACAAACAAGTTCAGAGGTCTAATCAATAAAAGGAAATTTAACTGGAAAAGTTTTGTTTCCCATGCTTAAAATAAATCTTAGGACAAACTACTTTTAGTCAATAGCGATGCCCATTAACAACTTTGGAAAGCTTGACAAACAAAGTTACCAGGTCCATAAGTTCAGGGGTATTCTATCAATTAAAGGGTGGCGTTACTACTTCAGCAAGAAGGGATTAGACCACCCAGTAAGCCATCGAGGTCACTGTGACAGGTGGCTATCTCATTAACTCAGCTCTCATTTAACATAAGAAAAAAAGGATCATGGGGGACCAACAGGCACCGATTTGGGAAGTTTTCGATATAGAGGGAGCAAGTAGCTACAAGTGAGACAGTGTGCCTTTAAGTTATGCTGTAGATCAACTACAGCCTAGCGAAGGACCTTGTGCAATGACGAATCTCAAAAGGTGAAAACTCTTACCACAATATAAAGCCTGAATTCTGAATCAAATCATTTACAATATATCTTTTTATATACAATCAACAATGCCCTGGAGTAGAATTATGAAAGTGATGCAGACCAATCCTATCCCTATGTAGATCTGGAATCTAGATCTAGACTCTACTTTGTTATCTTTTAATTAAGGTAAAACAATATTAAATTGTTAATTGTCATAACAAATCAAAATTAGCTTAAGGCTTAAGTCATTGGTTAATATCTGTGCAAAACTGGCCATGTTCGCATCAATTAGTCAAATGAGAACTCAGCTGTGCAACTTGCACAGTACATGCATAAATGGTAATTTCCCAACTTCGGTACGGTATCGTGAAGCAGTTTGCTTTGAATCCCGTGAGAAGGTGTATATTAAAGTCTTTGTTTTTAGGAAAAATACTAGTCTACGCCGAAGGCAAAACGATTATGAAGGAAAAACTGTGATAACGCCATTACGAACGTGTAGATGCATGGCGCACAGTTTTTCCTTCATAATCGTTTTGCCTTCGGCGTAGACTAGAAGGGATGAGATTGATTTAGATGACTCCGTGCGCAGCGAGAGTTTAACACGGCTTGCAAGATTTCAACATGGATGTCGATTTTGACCCATAATTTCCATAAAAGGGACCATTAAACGGATTATTTCAGTCAAGTTGGTAAGTGGAACCGATGTAGTATAACCTTCTCCTAATTTTAAATAATCAATGCATGAGGTAAAATGACATTTTGGGGGATTTTGGGGGCAAAACGCTACGACCTGAAATGGCCGTGGAGTTATCAAGGGAATGTGTATAGACGGTTTCCGTCTCTAAAGAGAGAGCCGACCCTACCCCAATAAGAGGCTAACGAACGAAAGAGACGGAAAATTCGGTCTAAGTAGGGATATGATCCTGAATTAGTGCCGAAATCTGCACTGTAAGTTGTTTCTAGTATAGTCGTACTACTACTGAACTAGTCATGCTAGTAGACCTACACTGTCCCTCCCTGTCACTTTATCGTATCACTAGCCTCGACCATACCATCACATGATCACACCCCCGACAAGACGGGGGGCTCGGAGCCTTGTGATCCGCTAAAATATTCTTTTTATGACGGACGATATTCTAGGAGAAAATATGATTTCATGATTACATGCAATACTCTAGACGTAAATTCTTTATCTTCTCCAATTAGTAGGATTCTTACCTGCTAATTTACTGTCTATTCTTCAGCCATGTCACTCTGTTTTTTTACAAATTTCCAAACGAACTTGACACTCAACAACGGATGGATGAAACTGTACGTAAGGACATGAATATGCGATTAACATATATCACGCGCGCGGTGTCGATGTCAAGCGCATATAATTACAAAGTGACCCTTTTGAGTAGTTTGGGCACTTGCAAGAATTACACATTTGTCCTTTAATATAAAAAGAGCAAATCAAATGATTGACATCTTATTTTCAGATTAAAAAAGGACATATATTTGTTGAAATCCAGTACCGGCCATGAAATACTTAAAAATATTATAAAAGGAATATACTAGAGACATATACCTGAATTTCCTTTGGTATTCTGCATTCTAAAAAAGAACCACGTTGCTTTTCAGGAAGTGTGAATAATGTTTAGTGTTTCACATGGTCTAGTTCAGCATTTCTGGCCATATGTTAACCCTTTCAACATTGTGTATAGATTTGTCTCGATCTGCCTACGTCAACCCTCGATCCCCCTCGATCATCTGCTTCCTCAGCTACCACCCCCCCCCCCCCCCATTTCCTCCCTCTCTCTAGCTATCTTTTTCTTGATCCCTCCCTTCTCATCTCTCTCTCTATTTTATCTTTTTTTTTCTCTCACTCTCTCTCTCAGTGTCATCCATCATGGTTGAAAAACAGGGCAACTAAAGAAAAATACAAGCTTTTCATCATCAAATGATTTATTAGTAAGTTTAAACTATTGCATTACTGCACATGCATTCAGCAAAGTCTACAAATATTATTGTTGCAAAAATATGCAAGCATAAATTGCAAGATATTTATGAAAGACAATGATAATAATCTATGATAGTAGAAAATATGACACACCATGATTGTAAACTCTATATGCCACAAAAGATATAATATTATTGCAAATCGCCAACTGCATTACAGTTCCAAGAGAAATTTTACCTTAGATAAGAATAGAAATATATCTACATATATATAAATTTGCATGACTTTCTATCTATATTCAGGTTAATCTTAAGAGCCCTCATTTGTATTTATCGATTTGCATATATAAAAATATCAACATAGCATTATCAAAAAATGTCTACCGGTAATCAGACATTACATCTCTCCCCCCCCCCCAAAAAAAAAAAAAACAACAACTCATCAGCAAAATATCAATTAAAGTCAGGATATTCTACTGAACGTCCGACACTGCTTCAGATTTACATATACTGCCATCTACCACTCACAATCCTCCACTATGCATCACCAACTGCATGATGCAAATGTGATGATGCGTGGGTACAGGAACCAGAAATCGCTCTTGCAATGTACACCTTCACCGAACGATGGTGTAATGATTGATTGAAAGTACATTATAGCAGTAGTAGCAATGTCGTTACTATACCCTGTCTTTAAATCGTTGGACACAAAAATAAGAATAAACTCAACAGGAAGTATAAAATGATATTTCATGCTATAGAGACAAGATTTCAGAGGTAGTGACATCATCCACTTTAAAGTTGATGGATTTACAGCTAAAAGAAAATATTCGCTGTGACATAATTGGGTGCAATAATATACTCTGTGGAAAAGCCTTATTGCATACTTAATCAAATGTTATCAATAATACTTACAATATTAATGTACATGTATCATAATTTCATCTTGAAAGCAAGTGTTTGGTAGTTGAGAAAAGATGAGGTAAAAGTTGTTAGTTGTAACACTTATTCACACAACAAATGTAAAAAATGGAATTCCCAATTTCCTATACAAAAAATTTAAGTACATGACATACTTTATACACATAAATGCAGCTGAAAGACACGATATATCAGCATAAACATAAACAATATCAACACAACTATATTGTACATAATCTAATAACATATCCTTGCAATCATCATTGTACTTCTTGAAAATAGAAAACAAATGAGATCATTTGCTTGCATGGGCTATATTAAACCATACATTAAATTTTCACCAGAGAATAACAAAGAAGGAGAATTGTTTTTTGTCCGGACAGTAGTTTGGTCCCTTATGTTTTATGTTTCCTTGGTACCACTGGAAGACTTAATCAAGATTTGGTATGATCAATAATTGCTTTGGTAAACTCCTTATTATTGGTTTGGTGAGGTTGACCAAAACTAAATTGTGTACTTTTTGATAACCATATTAAAAGGAGATACATAATATGTACCTCCTTTTAATATTGGATTTGATACCACTGGAAGACCTATCAAGTTTCAGCATGATTAATAAATGCTTTTGCAAAACTCCTTATGATTAGTTTGGTGTTGTTGACCAAAACTGAAGTGTGTAGTTTTAAACCCTGTAATAAATATGTCTACAGAATTGTCAATAAGGGGTGCATATACCATGCATAAGGAACGTATAAAGCTACTGTAAACTCAATAAGATTTTGCACATACTCTACAAGTATATTATCATCTACAATACTGGGAATGTTTAAGAGGTTAATTACAAGACAAATCATTATCTCTGTGACACATATATTGGAAGATATTTAATCATCCCAGATTCACAGCCAAAATAAAATTTAACCTAATAACATGGTAGATAACTCTCAAATTTCCCACCTCCAGTCAAAACTCTTCTTCAGAGTATTTAGGAGGAAAAGAATCCAAGATCCAAGATAACTAGTTGTTTGCTATATTGAAAACTGTTCTCTTAAACTGCATCCATGTGAAACTTCTATACACAGCAGCCTCCCTGACATCTGCAGCAGGGAGAAAAATGGCTAATTGTATTGCTCATTGCAATTAGAAACAGCTCACAGAAAAGGCAATAACTTGGACTTGGAGTCTGTTTTTTTATGATGGCATACAAGGGGCCGTTTCTCGAAACCATCATAAGTCTATCTTCTTAGAGATCCCTTTGAAACGTGTGTAATAGAATGAACATGCGTTTCTATGGGATGTCCACAAACTTAGACTTTTGACGGTTTCGAGAAAATAGACCCAGCTCAATAGGTCTTGATGAATATCTGTCACGTTCCATCTATACAATATTCTAGGCAGAAAATATGTTTGTGAAAGGGTGTAATAGTAGGTGAGCCAGCATCCCTAGGGGAAGGGTCTGCTTGGACCAGAACTGAAACTAATGCACCAGCCTTTTCATTTTCCTTACTGGAACTCATGTCACAACGAGTTTACCCTTGGGACTTCTTTTTCTGATGTCCCCAACACTTGATATATATGATAATCTGGTTTGTTATGTACTGGAGGGAACCCTGTCTACATATAAGGATGGACTCTTTTTTTCTGGACTGTCTTGCACATGTACACATATTTGAAAAACATTCATTAGTCCTGACTTGGAATGTGAAATGCATTTGTAATTTTACCACTGAAAGAACATGGCTATAATATTGCAATAGCAGTAGGCACTAGCTGGCAGTGTTGTAACTCCTTGATCATGCATCTCTCACAAAATCTTCAGTTAAATCAGTATATTCATTGCATAATCATGATTACTTACAAAATTACTCTTATAACCAGGAAGCTGTAATGAATGGAGATCCCGTCCAAGAGGCCCCTTTGAAGTCATCCGTGGCACCGCGCGTCTTTTGTTTCCCCTACCGTAATCCCCTTAATCCCCCTCCAAAACCTTACAGCTCCCTAGTAGCACTAAGTCCTCCCTTTCCACACACAGCCCAGCCCAGCGAGCACGGCGGCTTTTGCTTTGCCGGCCCGTACTTTGGGTGAATAGTGGTGCTAACTTGACAACTTCTAGCCCTAAATCAATAAATGCGCAAACATATAACACAATTTCATTTAGTTCTTTAGGAAGATAAACCTTTGGACTACCTTCCTAGCTATGTACAAATTTCGGAAATTTTCGGAAAATGTCAATAATTAGATGAGAAAATCATGATTATGAAAATCTTTCATTCGCTCTAACTCATGATTTCCTTGGTCGATTTCGCTGGTTAAAATGGCCATGTCTTCAGTAGAGCTATCCGAGAACGGAAAACGCATTTGATGACTAATAGAAAGTTGCATTGGTCATAATGTTGTGAATTCTACATTTTATATGTTATAGCTAAATACATCTTCCATGAACATGACTTAATTTGCGGTGCCACGCATGGCTTCAAAGCCCGATGCTTGCATATTTTTGCAAACGAGTGAATAGAGAACTTAGGGAAGCAGATGGCGTTGCGTAACATTTCGTACTATTTGGAATGCCAGAGAGGGACTGTGCATTGATATGGACAGCTGTTGATGGAAATGATGGCTGGAGAGGGTTACATTTCTTTTTGTTAAGCCAGGTTAATCTTGAATAATTTTCCCTCGGAAAATTCTTTCGAGACGGTATCTCCATTCATTACAGCTTCCTGTTATAACCTTATAAATACATTATATAAGCTGTATGATAAAAGTCCACATATCTTGTAAAAATGATTTACCGGTAATCCGAAAAACACCCTGTGACAAATTGGCAGTACTGACAAATATAAGCATGCATTTATTCAGCCCAAGAGGAAAGCACACACACAGACACACTCATAATTGATTTGCATATTTAGTATGATTACGAACATGTTTAAATAAACTATACAATAACATGCAAACCTGTGACACTAAAGTAATATGTTTTCTCAAAAACTGAATATTTGTGCTGAATCAGTGTGTTCTCATCGATTCATTCTACAATTATCAAGGCCTTTTGACTAGTTACAGGTAATTTGTAGTTCTGGTAAAAACAAAATATTTTCTCAAACAATTAAAGACTTACAATAAATTAGACCTGAAAAGTTAAATACCGGTAATAGACAATAAAAGATAAGGAAATCATGGTAGAAGTCCCATTTTGATTAGTCAGTGTATCTGTTGCTGGTTCCAACAATGCTACAGCATGATGGACGATTCAGGATAAGTTTAGGCCAGTTCCTTGCAAAGAGCAGCTTTAATATCAGAACTCAAAATAAACTTTAACGATCAAGAAAGTTAAGAATGATGGTAACAAAATATTTGGAGGTTCATGACAAATTTAAGCCTTTATTTTCATTCAGAACTCAACTGCTTACAGTACGGCACATGTGATGGACTTCTGCCTCTTCAATGCTTGCTTTTTCCGATCC